TTCTTTATTACTTTTACTAATCCCTCTCTACAGCCTCAGTGTTTGTTAATACTCTGGGTGATTCTTGATAGACCATATTAGAAGTTCTTTCTCCTTCCTGGGCCAAAATAAAGAGATCTGTTGGTGATCCTGCTCTTGAACACCCAACATAGAACTGATCGTGTGAAAACCAAGGTGTTTGCAGATATAGCCTTACCACTTTGAGGATCTGACCTTGTGCTTTGGTTGCCATTTTTCCTGACAAAAATGTTGATGTTTGAGGTTTTTAGTGAAAATAAATCAAACTTTCCAAGAAAAACTCAAAACATTTCGAGAAAAAACTCAAAATGAACAAATTTTAGTAATAACAATTGGTCTAGGACTGTGGAGTCATCAGCTAAACAAACCTATTTGTGGCCTCGGGTGGGTGGGGCAGGATGATATCCAGCCTAAGATCTGCCACTTAGTCTTATGTATTATCTTACCAAGTTTGGCTCATATTAAGCTAAAGGCTTAATAGACAAAGAAACAAATATTTTTTTATTTTTTCTTTTATAAATAAATATTTTGTTTTATTTTTAAAGTTCTATTTAATTCTAAAAATAGATTTCATAAATGAATATTGAAAATAATTAGAAATATCTTAGATTAAAAGAACTAATGAAAAGCCGTCAACGAGCCATTTGTATTTGTCTTTTTGATTTACGACAAAGTTACTAAAGTTACTTGCTACTGTCCCTAAATTTAGTCTACTAACCACGAGCAAAGCAACCAAACAGCAGCAACTTACCACCCACGCTAAGGGGGTTGAATATTGCTCTATAGTGCACCCAAAGTTTACAATGTGGGGAACAGTTTGTGGCATCATGCGGATTCGAAGCCTTCTCCGCAGCTCTGAAATCCAGAGTTCTACCACAGGGGCAACCCACGCTTCCTTCGTAATGAATGATATTAAGTAACCTTTCTACAGAATAAAAAGCATGAGACAAAAGGTAGAATTGGTGTGCTCTCGAAATTTGAAATATTGTTATAACTAATTTTTAGAAAGAGTATTTATTATTGTTATTTGCTAAATATTGCAAGGAAATAGCAAATAAAAATATGGTACCTGTGGGGTAGTGAACAGAAATATTAGAGATTCGGGAGCTCGAATGTTTAAAGAATGATAAACACATTTCAGACGTGTTAACCAAAGTTATGTAACGTTCAAAAGACATTGTAAATGAATTATGTTGGAATTACCATTATAAGTTCCGAAGCATAAGAAGTATTTTAAATGAGTAATGTTTAAAAAGTTTAATTAAGTTTCAGAACGTGTTGAAAAAGTTGAATTGAGTACTAAGTGACAATCCCAGATGCTTCATCGACAGATGTTGAATCCTTATGTGAAAGCCGGTTCTCTAGAAGGAGGTAGAAGAACGTTACTTTTCTGCTGTTACCAGTGGCCTTCTGGCTTTTTACTGTCCTATAGATGATTCAACATATTTTGCTTTTTCTAACTACACCAACAGTGTCATTTCCTTTGAATCCTTTCAACTCCTTTGTAATTCCATTTTGAACCTCACAGGGATTCCAAGGTAGCATTCATAGTCTCATTGCTACCTTAGTATACATTTGTCAACATGAATAATACTCACAGGGGCTGCAACCCACAGTTTTAGAACACCTGAATTAGACTTATAAAGCTATCGTAGGTACAAAAGTTTCATTTTATTAAATTATTCAATCAGTTAAGAAACTTACTGGAACAGGGACTAGAAATTATAATATTGAGGTTGCTATAAGAAATCAAGAAACTCATTGGAATAAGAGCTGGAAATATTATTATGCTGAAACAGGGGCTGGAAAGAATCCCAGTGGACCTAATGATAAAAGATCAATTTTAAACAAAAATAGTAATTGTTTTGAAGAAAGAGAAAACTGTATAAATCATATGTAAAGTATAACAAGAGTGGAAAGAAAGACTTGAATGTCTGTATTGCCGAAATACATCTTGCAAGAAAAGGATAGAAATAATTTATTTGCACGTAATATGGTATAAAACCATATGTCAAATTTTTGTCAGATCTTCTTGGTTTGCATAGCTAACTCGTATTTAAATATTTTAGAATGCTTACGTTGTATTTCAGTAACTTTCAATATAACTTTAACTACACTAAAATAATGTCATAAACATATATGTTTATGAAATACGAGGTTAGAATAATCCGCAATGGCTGTTAAAGTGTTATAATATTCTTACATTTTTTATTTAATTTCGAACATATTTCGACTGCTTAACCAAACGTCTTGTTTTTGATTACCATTACATCAGAATATATGTGGAATTAAATTCTGTTTTCATTAAATGCTGTCAACCTGTCAAGATTTCAAAATAAAGTCAAAATCTAATCACTTCTTTAGGCTTTCAAGGGAGTTCTTATTAGAAAAGCATTTAGTGCTTATATATATATATAAAGAACTGGACATTCCAGAACCTACTACCTACTCCTGGAAACATTACCATTGATTTGAATGAAAAAAAATGCAAGTTCAAATAAATAATGATAAGAAAAATATTGAAAGTCACAGAACTCAATGATATTACTTCCGGAATATTCAAAAGCCACTTAACTGATACTTTTGAATGTTATAACCCAATTAAATACTCTGTGACAACATAAGTTCAATCAAAACGTTTTTACTTGAGAATGAGAATCTTTTCCATCATTAAATTATATAGGATCTTCATATACTGCTTATAATATAAAATTTTATTTTTTTTAAAGAAAGAAAAAAAAGACGCTTTCAACAATAATTACACTTGAGTTTTTAATTATACTGCTTTGTCTCTTTAGTTACAGTTTTTATTTAATGACGTCAACCTGTAACGTGGTCTTATTCCAAGTAGGATGTTGAAGTTAGTTATCAACACAAGTTCCGAAACTAAAGAACAATGTAAAACTTTTAGATGAGGCTCAAATAACGAAGGAAAACAGTTTCTTTTACCCATTTATTTGTTTTACTAATATGCAGAGGAAGCTATACAGCGATCTCTTAAATACACATCTATATCAACTATACAATAACTCCAGGTACTTTAGATGGTAAGTTGGATTTAATTAAAGAGCAGTTAGGAAGAACAGGATAACATCGTAGTAGCGAACAGTTTTAATGTAAGATGATCTACTCCATGCAAAAAAGATTGTACACAAAATCGCTCAGAATAGTTGTAAAATCGTGTCTATTATAAAACATAGATTTGTAATTTTTCATGTAACGTAATAAAAGGCCTAAAAATTAAAAATGTAATTTATTGACGCGAGATCTACGGACAGGGGTTATTACTAGATCACTAAAGAGCAAACATATTATTAGTTTTCAAATTAAATTAAAATGTATGATCATGTGATCACATCAACATTATTGGCTTTTTTTTTCTTTTTTGGTTGTATAAGGGTCTGAATTAATGAATATCTTAAGAAAAAACAATGTTTTAGATTTTGTTTTAAGAAGCTAATCGTAACTGAATCAAAACTATGGATATTTTACTGTTTAGCTGTATAAGACATGGAAACCTTGTTACGGATCTGAATCACCAAAAATGTAATATAAATATGCTGATATAATCCATGGCTTACAGTATAAAGTATACTTCTTTTTTGCAACTTTTTATATTTCTTGATTATCTCTATTTACGTTGCCTAGTTGTAAAAAACCATTTAGTCTTCTGTACATATTTAAACAGAGAAAAAAAACTCGAATTTATTAGATTCGTCTTTAAAACATGCAAAGGTTTCTCGTTTAGTTATCAAGTTTCTAAGTTAACTAGAAAATATGCAAATCATGTGAGTGTTTAAACCCTTGTAATTTCGTTATATTTTTTACTGCAAATTGTTTATTACACTCATAAAATTTTTTGCTTTTTAGTTTCTCGTGCATAAATTTGAGAAGCAAACAATACGTAAGGAAGTAAGTCTCATGCAGGGTGGTATTTTCTTTTTAAGTAAACAGGGTGTTTAAAATGCATGCATACATCAAGACGTGCGAGATTGAATTGAATGAAAAAATATGGACGAAAGAAAAGTCCAAGAGGATAAATTCAGTTGAATGATACATAGTAAGAGTGATTTATCTTTACAGTGTTATCTGAATTGTTAATATGCGAAATTTAGTCCACAGATTAAGAACATCATTAGCAAAAAAAAACTTTAGTTTTATTTATTTGTTTGGTTTATATTTGGCAAAGCTTTTGCAGTTAATTTAATTTGCTTTTTAAAGTTCCAACGTTATTTATCCTCTTTAAGGCAATTCCCTATTGTGATGAGGCTTCTTAATTACCCCCAAAAAGGCACTGAGTAATTTCTGTAACTCTTAGTGTATGATTTTTTTATTTAATTGTCAGCTACTCCACAATATAGTGGGGTTTCAATATCATGATGTTTTGAACTTTTCAGAAAATATTTAAAGCTTTGTTTTATTTGCAAAATTAATTGAAACTTAAGTATGATACAACTTTATACATGAAAAGTTTTACGCCTTTTCATATACATTGTTAAATATTTGTTTTATTATGCTATTTCATGATTAAATTATTTATGTCCAAATTTAAGTATATAAATTAGTTATCGAAGCGTTCTTGCTATTATAAAGCGCAAAAACCTTTTAATTAACTTAATTGTATTGGGTCTTATTTGTTATATTTTTGGAGATTTAATAGTAATTAATTAGCCTCCACCTCACACGTAAAACACTTTAGGGAATAGCCTTAATGGTTTTTAGAAAACTGAGTTTAGGTCATGACTTACCAACGTTAACCAGATATTTGTTATAATTTGTTGGTTCTTTTCATCCTAAAAAGGAAAAATATATGTGAGATTTTTAAAAAAAATATACACACACTTTGGGAATTAATCGACATCAATCCATGAGGAAAAAGAAGTTGGTCATTACACGTATTCTACCTTCCACTAAGCGAAGTAGGCCTACAAAAGAGCTTAATTATTATTATCGTACAAGTACTTACCATGTGAAGCACTTACCATGTTTAACCACAAATTTGACGTAATTATTTGGCTCTTTTCGTCCTGCAGAAAGAAATGAAGTTGAAAAGGAGAAGAGAAAAAAAAAGCTAAAAGCAAAATATTTGTTTTATAATCAAAAATACACAAGTTTCTCTGGAACATTTAAGCGCAAAATAAATACGAAAAATGGGGAATAAATCCACGGTCTTCTACATATCAATACATAAAATAAACATTCTCCAACGCATACATATATTGACAGGTACTTTTTAATAAGGCCTAATTGTAAGGAACTGGAAAAAAATCTGTAGCTTAAAATAGAACTAACATATTAGCTACGTCGAAATCCCAGGAGAAAATTCAACTGAATTACTACTCTCCAATAAAGATTAAACGCGAATACCTCTGAGGTATAGAATGGAGACATTTTTATCAAGTGATCTTATCTTGGTATCTTAGCTCATATTTCAGTTCAGTTGGATCATGGAGCCAGGCTACAGTGAACTTCTCTCGTTTACCCATTGGTAATCAGTGAGTCTAACGCGCACAAATGAATTGTTTGTCTGAGATCCTTTGATCAATAGATCAGCAATCGTATAAAAAACAACCTGATAGAGAATACTTTACTTTATTAATGTTAAACAACTGTATCATTTACCAAAAATAAAACATAAAAATAACATATTTATACACATAAACAAATAGTATCATAGCGAGCATTTTGTATCAGGCAGACGGTAACACTGCCTATGTAGGGATGGCTCGGATTGTTCATCGAAATGGTATTTTAAATATCTCCTCAATAGGTCATCAGAACTTTACAATACTATACAGTGTTTCCTTTTATAGCAATATCTATGTGATGACTGAGTCACAAGTTCTGGGAATGTCTGTAAATATCAGAAGCAAAAAGTTTGAATTTCTTGTTATTCTTTCTTCTGCTTCTTTTTTTATTACATGATAACTCAAAAACCAAAACAATGGTTTCAACCAATTTCACTATGGTGACATAGTTTCAAATGGAGTATCCGCTTTTATAAGTATTATTAGTAACTAGTAGTAATTGAAAAAACAAACATAAGTCTAGTGTAAATGATGTTATCATTACCCCTTGAAGTTAGCTATCTTATAGATATCAGGTGTTCCTTCAAAAAGCTTAAATACAGGGTGAAACGGGAATTATCGGCCAATAATTGATAAACAATAAATATAACAGTTGGATCCTCATTGTTTTAGAAATTGGTTATAAGTACAACCTTCCTATGTCTACTGAAACACTGAATTGGGAAGAACAAGTAAACAAGTGAAGAAAAAACTTTTCCAAAAAGGAAATAAATTATAGGGATGGCTAATAGCGATCATTCAAAAGGAATGAAAACAAGATAGTAGGGATGGCATTTACATCATCCCTACATAATAGCAAGGATTGACATATAGCAATATATATAACTATTCAATCACAATTGAGTTTAATTTATTCTATTTTTGTCTGTTAACATTCTACTATATTGTGTGCCTGTGCTATGTAGGGACGTTGCAAATAGCCACGGTCTTGTTTCCTTTTTTTTCTTTTGAAGGATTAATATTAGCCATCCCTACATTTACTTTCCTATTTGAAAAGTTTTTTCTTTACCTGCGTATCACGTTAAGTAGAATAAAAACTTGTATTTAGGTATTTTCTTAAATTGTGTAGGAAATTTAGGGATTCTTCTTACGTTACCGAAGAGAAGCTATACGTCACAACATAACACAGCGTTATAAAAGATTGCCTAAAACTCAATTACACAAAACTAAAAAAAAAAAAGCTGTGATAAAGAATTTTACATATACTGTAGTTTCAAAGGAAAATAAGCAAAGCCTTTAAAACATTTGAAAAAATCAGAGCAAAATAAAAACTGTGTAAAAGAAAACGCTTGCCCGGCTTCTTCTCAGCCTCGTCGTTTCTGATGACGTCAGGAAAATGTTACTAAAACGTTTTAAGCTTTAATGTAATTTTATGTTATTTTTAACGGATTTTTTAAATGTTTCGAGGTGTGCCGCTGTTTCCAAAAAAAAAAAAATATTTGTATTTTGTGTTTACTAAGGCCGTCGTCCCTAATTTTGAACTACTTATTAAAAGGAAGGCAGCCAGTCACAAGCACCCTACTACCCAGAGATTGACTGTTACTCTTATAACAGACCCACAGCTCAAAGTGCGGGGAATATTTTGTGGTATCACATGGAATCGAACTTGGCTCGCCATTTCCGTAATCCAGAACTCTACGACAGCCATATAACAAATAAAAAGCAAATAATAATACAGATATCTTTTAATTTCGATGACGAGGAACCCACTTTGAGACTAATAACGGCTGGAGACGGCTTAAATGGGTAATGAAGAAAAACTTTAAT